TTCTTTATCGGTAAAATTAATTGTGCACCTTCCTATCAATAGCCTATCTAATAAAGGTAGCTATTAATCGAATTATGTCCTGGCGCAAAGCTGCTTTTTTATAATCACCTTAGCGCAGCTTACATGAGATATAATAGTAGGTATAATATTTTTAGAGTGACCTTAGCTTACTTGGAGCTTCAATTTCCAGCGCCAAAGGCTCTTCAACGACGGTCCCCTGAGCGGGAGCAATTTTAAAAGGACGCCAACAAAAAACAGTTGAATGTATTTTTTTATATCTCTTGTTATTAAAATCTTTTTACAATTACTACTTAAGTTGAATGCAACATCCATAAAGTTGGCTCTCTTGGCTTTTTCATAGCAGTCACCTGCTTCCTTCAGGTTTTGAGCACTTCCTCGCATATATCTGGTCCTCTCTCTAAAAAGCGGGTACGGATATTTTTTTTATGTGTGCCCACCGTCCGTGGGTTTTCGTAGTACGCCGTGCTTTTCAAGTACCCTCTTAAAAAATTGAGCGGGGTTATGTCACATTATCTGGGGAGCTCTCCAACATCATTCCACCTAAAAATCAACCGTTTACTGAGTGACCTCCTAATAACGCGATTACTTTATTAACCACTTAGAGGGATGAACCATACAGCTATAACTATGGGAAGGGCGTTTCAGCGATTCGAGCTACCCAAGACAATCCCCTGGTCAGCATATTCAGCGAATTCAAGCCTACAGTTTCGTCGAAAAAAAAAACCCTAATAATGTTTCCGGTCCGCATGCCGTACCAGAAAGCGGTTGCTCTGGATCTAAACCCTTTTCATGTATATCGCAATAATTTCCGGTCCATGGTAGTATACAAAAAATGAACAACCTTAACTGAAAATATCCGTGCCGCCGTTACAAAAGTAGGTTTATATAAGCAAAAAAGTGGCCAAACACTAGGCCAAGCGAATAGTTGAAATGAAAGAAGTTCAGGGAACTAACTTACTAATGATATGTTTGTAATAACGTTAATAATAATATTGCTGACATAAAATAATAATAATAATAATGTTTGGTAAAGAAGGATCAATGTAAATATATTTTTGTTTTTGTTGGCAATTGTTGTTGAAATTGCTCTCAACCTAATAGACTTGCCTGTATAACTTATTGCAAGCCTAAATTATATGCTATATATTATTATATTTGTAAAGTTGTGCAGCCGTATGAAAAGTTAATAGAATTTTGAGAGAAAAAGGGTCTCAGAGGAATTAGGAATTGAGATTATTTTTGCGTAATTTCCCATCCTTGTTGATATGCTTCTGTTACTTTTCCTGATGATATCACTTGGACATTTGCGGTTGACCAAATGATTTTGTTGCAGTAATCGCCCTCTGTCTCTTGCAAAGAGATCCTCTACCTCTTTTATTTTTAACGGTGCAACAAATCCTCTCCGGAACCTTTACAATATAAAATTCTAAACCTTCAAGAGAACGTTTTTCGCTTTAGCAGCACAATTGACTTTTTTTAGTGAAAAGTTAACATTAAAATGATTAATGTTATTTTTAGAAACGTAATAGGCTTGATATCTATCTGTAATAAATTCTATCTAAAATAAAAAATTAATTCAACATCGAGATCGCGGACCATTTTGTCACTCTGAACAATCTAAAATATTAACGCTGTTATTTCTAGGGTATAGAATAAAATTTTAAAATTATTGTAATAAAGTTATTATTTTTTAATCATTCCAGTTATAATGACTCTTACTTAATCGTTTTTCGTTAAATCGTTAAATTTATTGAAAAAGAGGAAAAACGGTAAAGTCTAAGGAATACTAATAAGTGATATTTTAGGTATTATTATATAAACTCACCATATATTTACTGTGAAAATGGATACTAATACCCGGGTATAATTCTTACAAATACTTCTGGGATTAAATTTTTATGCCCTTTTGTTCAAACATCAATACCAGAAATACTAGTGACCGTATGACGACGCTATTAGTAAAACTGTAGGTAATGGTTAGGACTAAATTTTCACTTCAGCTTGTATTTATTATTTACTTGTATCTCTACGGAAATTGTATATTGCTATCTGATAAACACGGTAACACGAAATAATCGGTACAATAACTTGCAGTAACAAATGAACCTAGTCTAGTCAAGGGCTCTAATTTAACTAATTATTTTTATAGACCTTCAGCGAACCATGACAGGGCCATAATGCTGCACGTGCACACCTCGACAACTTCAGTCCTGAAATTCGTCGAAAAAAATTAGTAAATCTTAGTAATTTTCAAAATATTTCTGCATTCAAATTGGCAATTGTAGTAGTTGTTCATCAATAACAAAATCGTAAAAAACCGAATTCTAGCCTAGAGCATTATTTGTACCTATATTCAAGACAGAAAAAGGTACCGTTAATTAATTACTTCCATTTATGCAGTCCGGCTACGATTTTGCAAGATGTCTTCAAATAATTACGGCAAAGTCGACTGTATTTATGGTGAGAATATCTTATGTATGAAACGAATTTTCCTCCAAGTTAGTTCTCTTAATAATTGTGAAAAATCAAGTCTCTGACCAAAACTTACGAGGTTAGTATCTTGGGAACCAAGTATTTTTTAGCTTTCCTAGATACTATTGAACATAATAATTATCCACAGAAATATTTAGCCAGCTTGGAGTCCGTAAGTTTCTTTCTATATAAGTCTTACTGCATTCAGATCTGCCACACAAATGAAAAAAGCAAGACATAACAAAATGCATAATTTGAAATGTTTGGCCCGTATGAACCCGTTACAATTAACTTCATATCCGTAAAAGTTTTTACATTCGGCCAGTTTAAAAAAGTGCTAAAAGGCTCAGCGAGAAGTCCGCAAGCGCTTCGGTCATAACGTCCAAAACAGCTGTAAGGCATTGTATCAGACAACTGATCTCAATAGGAATATTGTCTCTACTCGCCGTATCACACGTAGACGTAAAATTCGCAAGTATACACGTTATCATTATACCATCACACGGATCTCTTCTTCTTGAACTAATTCTAGTGTGAAGTCGACGATTGTCGAGAGCAAAAAGGGCAGACTCCCAAATAAAGGCTATTCTGTCCTATATTATTTTGGCAGCTAGTGCCATCGTACGTTTCTATTAAAGATCAAAAGTATAATTACTCAATTATTAAGAACTGGACAACAGAAATGATCTTGTCACGTTTCCTTCTTAGCGTTAAACTTTTACCCAATCGTTTTTTTATTGCCAGATGTGTTTCGTTTTTTATTTATAATAGGCAGCGACGTCAGATGACCGATCATCATAATGGGGTCTTACTGGAACGTTTACTTAGCTACCCTCTAATTTGCCGTAAGAATTGTGACCAGTTCACTTATGCGGTAAATCCAATATCATTGCGCTATTCTTGGACGCGTTGCTCGATTTCGGCAGTAACCATGTAGAACCATGTAAAGTGTTTAATTTGTACTATACATCCAAAACAATGCTAGTTCACACAGACCGCTGGCATAACTCAATCCCTTTTTTTTTCGTACAATCTTTAATCACAGTTCAGGGTCGATTTCACTAATTATGTTATAAATACAGAAATTCAGCATCGTAAATTATCTTCAGTGTTGTTTTATAGATTCTGCCTCTTGTATAGTTTCACAGGGAAAAAGGTGAAGGGAGCCAAGTTGAACGGCCATTTGAACCGTCGCACGTTCGAGTCAATTAATCTAGAACCACGATTTCAATGAAATCGATCGTTTTGCTTGCTACGGGAAATATTGTCCCATCTTATTGAAACACAAGGTTGTTTGCACTGAATGTTCTCATTTCAAGCCACAGTTTTCTAACTTGTAACGCAAGTTTGTAACTTGTCACCGTAGAGCTGACCATACTATTATTGTTGTTTCTTCTTTGGAGAAAAGGGCCTAATAATACTTTTGCTCCACAAGACACACAATGAGTAAAGTGATTAGTCGACATTTTCCCTTGGATTCTCTCAGTTCGAACTGCGAAAGTTTCGTTTACCCACATAGTCATCTAGTCGAGAATGAATTTTATTCGAAGGAATGATATGGCCAAAAGATCACGAAGTAAATCAAGTTGACATTGTTTTCTATGTACAGTAATAGCGAATGGTGCAAAATTTCCTTCAATTACTTCATCTGTGTCCATCAGTTTAATTAAATACACTTTTATGTTTGAAGTTACAGCGCCGTGACATGCAGTTGTCAATCGCCTTATACAGAACACATGGTCGATCTAGTTCCTTAAACAACCTCGTTTCTACCCATTTTTCGGCTCCTTCCAGTATTTTTTATATAGTTTTATTTATCTATACTTGTGAGGAAAAGCGTGGTGTAGTTTTGAGGTATACTTTTGGTACAGGAGAATTACCGTAAAGACACCTCAGGGAGTGTCACGGCAGAAAAAAATCGTGCTTTTCGGCACTGTTCCATTATCGAATGAGACTATCTCTAGTTATTGATTGCATTAATTTCATCGTATTCATACAACTCGTGTAATTACATTTTCAATATGTTTCATTAATTTAAAGCCTATTGAACCAAATGTACCAACTAGAAGCAACATCCAAGGGACAATCCGAGACAACCCATAAGAATATCCGGCCTATAATGGACCTAACTGGATGTAGGATTAATCGGCTTACGAACGACCACTCTTGATCGATGGGTTTTTAACTCTGTCATTTGCAGCTAACTTTAGAACTTGAAGCGGTACAATTTTTTAAACTACACTTAGAGGCTCATAGGTGTACCCCAATCTAAATCCGCATTTTTTTTTCTAACTCTTATAGTTGAATTTAACTACTTTGTATTTACTGGAAAAATCCTACGATACGACAAGACACAATTAAAAAGATAGGTTTCTATCCTCAGCCTATTTTGTTTAAATGAAAAAGACGCTTTCTTAATAAACAGAGGCCTAATTTTACCCTTAACGCATCCGTCTATGCATGTAGAAAATAATATCTAACATGAAAAATGTGTTTGTTTGTTGCAGTTGGAAACGGAATTGGTGGGGGGGGTACGGGCGTAGCTGCGGCGGCGGCTGCTCCTATCGTCGCGGTCGGTTCATTGGCGCGCATCTGCGAGTGCGGCCCGGCGCAGTTTGCATGCAGCGAGGTAGCAGCTGGCAGCGGCAACTGTACTTGTATTCCCAGCAGGTGGCACTGTGATGGGGATGACGATTGCGGGAATGGACGAGACGAGTTAGGATGCGGTAAGAGACCTTTATTGCTATTGGTTGATAGATAATAAGAAGTCCGACGGAAAATAGATTGACTTCTTTGCCAACATCAGATGACTATGGCAAACTCGTAACTGATACGTAGACGACGTCTAAATAGAGTCGTTAATTAACAAACCAAATAATAGATAGCAGACGGACATTAGGAGCGATGTTGCCAGAAGATAGCCACGAGCGAGCTCCACGAAGCGCGTAAGACCTGTGACTAGGATAACGCTGAACCGATTTAAGGACTTATTAAAACGGCCAATATTTAAGTTCCTTGAGGAACATTTTAAACTTATACGGTAGCTCAACGGGTTATTTTTTGAAGAACACCTTAAATTTTAGGTTCTCACCTTTATATGCTCCAATAGACATTTCTCCAAGATGAATGCGTTGAGTGCTTTGTATCCTTCACGTTTGGTAGTACTTTGTCGGGCGCGGAACCTGTCTTACAGTACCGTTTTAAGGGTCAAAGTTTGAACTATCTGTGTTTTTATATTTTCAGTAATAGAATCAGACCAGTGTTCTGCTGTATCCGAGAGTCGCTCACGTTTAAGCTCGAAAAGCTATATTTCCTAGTACCTAGGTTGCCTATATCCTAATTCCTGGGCTAGCAGCGAAAGTTTTGTCTCGGTTTCATCTATTAAATATTACCGGCCAAATCCTCCTGTTTTCAACACCGGAGGCCGATCGCTAATACTTCGATCTCAGTTCCGTCCATGCTGAATCGACTCGTCGCCAGTAGTTCTCGACGTTGCCCCTGCTAGTCCAAGTGCGCACGCAACACAGATACGGAAGACATAAGCGCAATTTATTCTGGTATCAGCACCTTTATATAACGATAATAAAGGATCGCGTCAAGGTTAGAGTACTCTTAGTTAGAGAACGCCATAACGATGTTAGCTTAGGCACTGTTTCAAAATGGCATGTTGCTAAGCAAGTAAAATATTTAAGGACGGGTCATGCGTTTAGTTTTGGCTGGGTTTAGGCATGCTTATTGATCATCTTCAATATAAATTATTAAAACGTGCAAGTTACTGGAAAAAGTCGGCCTACTTTATGCAAATATCTATTACAAACTTGATGATACATTGGAAGAGGACGTTATCAGGGAACTTTTTGCATTATATACAATGCAAGCTTCTCTGCACTATCGGCAGTAGCACCTGATCATTATTATTCTTTTATAACCTAGCTAGGATATTAGGTTCAAACCTTTATATGCAACCCCCATATTTCAAGTTAAACAATTGTTAGCGTTTACACAAAAAGATCCAGATATATGTTTCGCGTTTGTATTAAATGTTTTTTGCTTGTTGTCCAAATGTTTATTGCTCGACATAATGAGCGTTCAACTTCCACTCACGATGCAAGCTACCACTAATATGACGTTAATAAAGACAAAATTTCAACAAATTGTCTAACACCAGATTAGAAACACTGAACCTTATTAGAACACCTGGCTTTTATTGGAAGGGCACATAACGCCACATTGTGAAGGAAGTTGATAAATAAATTGAGACAATTTCACTCTTTAAATGCACCACTAACCATATCCAGATGGCGATAATTACCGTGCCTTAAGCATAAGCCAACTAAAGATTCTTTAGATTGTCTTAAATAATAGACTTATAAACTAAGACAATAAACTTAAATTAAAGTTATGATATACATCAAACTCAGATAATATTAGTCTTTCCTATGTGTGTTTCACTTCTCTGTATGGTTATGTATTAACCTATATTTATTTTATACTCTAAATCATACGGCCTGATAATAGCTGGCCCCTTATAAGACAGACTGAGACCTAGAGAGGCAGCATTATGGAGGATGACTATCCGCAAAATAAAGAAATCATTAAGAAGAAGAATTATTTGTTTGTCAATTATGCCCTTTTAAAGTTGCTCTTTGTAGATCCGAAAGACGAACTATACTGAGGTACATACACTACGGGCCATTACAACCACCAACGTTGCGAACGTCTTAAAGCCATGCGGATCAAGTGGAAAATAGCAAGTAAAAAATGACCAAAAGCTTATTCCTTGACCAATGGAATATATATTTTTAGAATTATGCTGCTTTTTATTGATCATTTTAATTTCTTCGAAACAACTAAAATCCTCTCGATGACATCTTTGTTAAACGAAAGCTAGCTCTTCACAAATTAAAGTATCTGTCATATTACCTGGCTACAGTTGATAGTTGCCTTACCGGAATACCGAAAGCTACCCGGGCCTAAAATTATTCAATGATGAACGTTTACTAAAATACAAATTCTATGACTTTCACAAGCTTTATATGTAGAATATAGATTATTTGTTGGCCTGTATCGACTGTTGCCTTTTTCGTTTATTCACTCGAGAAAGAGCCTTAATGACAGGTTCCATTTTTGCAAAGTGACTAAGCTTTTTTTAGTGTTAATGTTTATGCGGGCCCTGCAGTAAATTGGCCAGTTAACGTTAGTAATCGCAAGTGTGCTTGTCGGTTTAGCCGTACGAGTGAATTATGCAGCTTAAAGCAGGAACAAAACCACATGGCCAGTACATTACGCTCGTCATCAGCGCGGCAATAGTCGTAGTAATCAATGACAATCTGTTCACTAAGGCACAACATTGTTGCAGAGCTGTTAATTGTCTTGCTATTATTGTAAAAAAAAAAAAAAAAAGAAGCGTAGAGCAGAAAAAGAACAACAATAGAAAGAGGAGTAGGGAAGGCTGGTAAGACTTTTCCGCTTGGCTTTTGATCCGTGTACACAGGGTTCTAGTGTAATGCGAACTCATTTAGCTTTCTTCCAGCCTGCGATAGTCCTGCGCCGCCCAAAAGCCATGTCGTGGCCTTTGATTTGCTTCCACGTGTGTTTGTCGCTACGCCGTTTCCTGGGTTTCCATTCCTGCTTCGATATAGCGGTGTGCCGTATGTAAATAATCCAACTCATTCATCACGATGTACGATGAGACCACAAGGAAAAAGGCGAGCGCTGGAACTAAGGCCTATTGAATATTTATTGGTTACGCCGACTGGACCTTCTCGTGTCTTTTCCTTTTATCTTTGCTCACTTAGCCTTGTTCTACCAAGAACCTGTATATAAGCGATGACAGGGTTGTGCCCGCGTTTTAAAATCCGTTCTCTGTATTTCATTGGTCTGCTATTATCTTTGTTGTTGATATTACCCATTTCATCAAGATTGTAGCAACCTACTGTGTCCGACTAGATGTGTAAGGGGTACGGTAGGTGTACGTACTTGATTAAAAGGTACAAAAAAGGATACCTTTTAGTAAACTCCCGTATATCTTAAGGTATGCATGTTTGGTTGAATTATTGAAAAGAACCGATCTTCAAAATGGCAGTTCTCGCTGTTTGATCGATAGCTACACGTTAATCACATAACAACACAGATCGTTATACCGTGTGTGTTATTAGTGTGACTTGTAGCCTAACGAGCAAATATTATTCTCTTATATATTTCGTCGTGCACGAGATAAGTTTTAACTTTTGTAACTCGCATATCATTTTAGATGTTGATTATATTACATTATTGTGCGATAAATTTGTCATGATTATTATTTTGGTTCATGTTTCCTCTAATCTGATCCAGCTAATAGAGCTAAATAAGGTGTTGCTGTGATTCGTCTCATATAGAAGTGAATATATTAATGAATAATAGAGAAGACAAACAGCGTTTCATTAATCGGCGCGACGATCAGAAAGTCGGCTTTCAACTGCCGCTTCTTATTTTCAAATTTCGAAAAAACTGTTTGGAACGCTCTATCAGTTCCCTCACTCATTATATGACAATTTTGTGTCGCAATTTTTACTTCACGGGCGCGCATCGCCATTACGCAAATCCCGCCAATTTAGCGGTCTGCTTAGTTGTTTCTTTTTACAATAGGCTATTCATTCTAAAATGTTTGTTCGCTCAATGACCTACCAATGGTAATTATTGGCCGTTTTAAAATTTACCGGTCGGTGTACAATTTTTCGCACGAAGTTACCTTATATTGGATATAGGAAACATAAATGTGCTCAGTAATAATTGCTTGTATATATAAATAGTTATGATTAGCAGGTAAAAGCCATTGAATAATTATAAAGAGAGTTTGTAATTAAAATAAGACTATAAAATAGAGAAGAAGGTAGGACAAACAGTACAAAGCTATTGTATACGAACATCGTATTTTTTCTTTACACGAATGCTTTTCATTGTTTTTTCTTTAGACCTTAGTTAGCTTCTACTATTCATCGGTTTTTCTAATGTTTCTGTAAAATCTTCAACGTAATTCTTAGCTAGCAACATATCGTATCTACTACCTATTCATTATAAAAATATTTTATTTATTAAACATCTAGCTTTTTGGAAGTAATCTTTTGATTCTTATGTGAAAGAATTCGGTGCAAAAGGGCCTCAGTACAGATCAGTGGCCAGCACTTGTATACCACTACTGCGTATAACAGAAGCTGTAGCGTAATAAAATGGCTGTCACTGCAAACTTCGCCCCAAATATGCAGCTCAAGTGAATCATTAGCAGTAATATAAAAGAAGTCAGCTAGGCTATTCTTGATATGATATAAGTTTATTTTCTAAATTATAATCGAAATTGATTCAGTGCGGAAAAACGCTCACATACGTAATGCGTATATAGCGCTTGTAAGGTATTACCTGTTTTACTCTCCCACCTCTTTCGTCTTCGGTTCAGTGCTTACCCTATTGTCTTGACGTGTTAAACGAAGCCTGGACCCATTTTTTCGATAGCAGTATGTTGTTATGCGTTAAAAATTAATACCCATTAAACAGGTAAATAAATTAAAAAAAAATATTATTGATCATACCAAGTATATTACCCACATATTATCGACTATCGTTAGTAAATCTTCATAACAGAGCGACTCTTTTAGTTCGTTCACCATTTCGGTCAATGCGTTTATATAAGCAAATGTATTATTACTATGCATGTGCGCATTCATTCGGGCGAGCCCTACTCTGTCAAATT